GTAAATATATTTTGGTTACTTTAATATAATTTAGATGTGCTTGATAAGTACATAACCATCATAACTTTTTAACATTTTGTTTATTTCATTTGCAGCAATCTTGCAATGAAGCAGTAAGGTTGAGCAGATTGCAAAGGGCCCAATTTTTGTTCATGTGACTATGGAAGTACTGTAGTCAGTCAGAGGTCATAAGTCCCTTTGATTAGTGGTGTTGTCATTGGGTACAGTTGCAAAATGAATGATTGTAAGTTAAGGACTATCCGTATGGGTATGCACAGCATTAGGCACCATACAGTAATAGTCTCAATACTTGGGCTTCAATGCCTTTGAATACTGGACTGTACAGAATTATAGTCATTGCATCTTCAGCTTATGTATCTAATTATGGCATTAGATGCTGTTTGGGCATGCAGGAATTTGAAGATGATGATAGAAATACATGCCTAGATACTTAAATGTTTCATATGCTCAGTTGGATAGCTATCAATTGTCCAATTGTGGTTGAATGCCTTTAATAATACAGTAGAACCTCTGGTCATGACCATCATTTGTTCCATAACTTTGGTCGCAACCCAATTTGGTTGTAACCCAAACCTAATTTTGGAAATTTGACACTTAGAAAAAAATGATGTGGAAGGGAAAATTGTCCGTGAAAAAAAAAAGTGAATTTTTTGGTCAGAACCCGATTTGGCCGTGGTCAGAAGCATTCATGACCAAAGGTTCTACTGTACCACTAGCTTGGTTTTTGAGTAATTGAGTTCCAGCATTTCAGACTTAGCAATGAAATGCGAATACATGGAGGTTGGATCAAATTTCCATTTGGTACACAGAGAGAATAACAGCATCAGCAGCATATAAAGCATACATCATCAGCATTTAAAAAAAAATAGAAATTGGTTTGCTAGCTAAAGTGAGAGGATGGAATTCAGAAAAGACCTGGACAATATCCTTGATGTACCAATTAAATAGGGGGCAGATTGCACCCTTGTTTGACTTGTTTAGTGTTTGGGATTTGATCAGTCAATTCTTCATCAAACATTATATCTGCATTGCATTATCATAATTACAGAAGCTAGTGATTGATGGAGGAGGTTTCTAGTTTGCACCCAAACTCTTCCTGAAAGATTAAATGTTTTCAATTTTATAAATGCAACAGAGGGAACCTTTGATGGACTGACATACTTTGCAGACAAGTGGCAAAGAGTGAGATATTGGACTACAGTAGAAAAACCTGGCCTTGGTTATTTTTTTGTGTAATTTTTTTTTTATTTTCAAACATACATCAATATCATTGCACGGATCGTGTGGTGTCTGAGTGTCATTCATTTTGACACAAAAATAATATTGATACAAATGAAAATTACTGCATTAATCAAACTTATATGGTCTGATGTTATTATACATTATATATTTTTCTTGGATCAATTGAGTCAGCAAATTTTGGTAGAGATGTTTTGCATATAGTTTATTGATTTTACATAGTAAAAATTTTAAATGTAGTTAGCTGGGTTGGTCCTATCACTTTTATTGTACATTGGCATTGTGGTAGAGTTAGTCCATTCTTTGGGGATCTGTAGAGAATTGGCCGATATGAGTAAATAAGGAAGTTAAAATAGTGACCCACATTTAGGTCTTAGTTTGGGGATGATCAGGTCAGTCTGGGAGCTTTGCAATTCTTGAATTGAACAATTAGATTCAATATCTCTCACTGGGGCCAATCCAAGAGAAAGTTGGAAAACATTAGGCGTGTATCAAGATCCCAAGTATAAATCTGAAATAATACATGACAGAAAGTATCTCCATGTCCTTCCATATTAAATGATCCATTCTGGATCTAAATTATATTGTCACTAAGGAAGCAAAGTGCCAGAATTTGATGCTATGTTTAGATTGAACTGTCTGAATCAGTCTGTACCATCCCTCTAATTGGCTCACTTGCGTCTTTCTTCCCAGGAGAGCCTTGTGTCTTTCAAGATATATACATATAAACAAGTTTCCTGGGAATGGAGGCGCTGCTGTCTCTGTCAACTTTATGGCCCATTTATTTGGAATGGCTGTCATGCTTAAAAGATCTCCGTTTTGAATAAGGTTTAGTTTTGTAATGTATTATTTGTAGTACAGTGGTACAGATTAATCAACTTTATCTAAAATATCAATCAGTTGAATCATGCTAATAAATAAGCTGGAAAAAAAATTAAACACATAAGGGAATATGAAGAGGCATGCTTTCTTCTTACCTTATTTTCTCTTGGTTACTTTCAGCAACAAGGTGCCACCCAGTACGTTGTAATACAGGTAGTCCTCGACTTACAACCGTTTTCTTAGTAATTGTTCAAAATTACAACCGCACTGAAAAATGTGACATGGCCATTTTTCAAACTTAAGACTGTTGTGACATCCCTGTGATCTCGTGATCAAAATT